GTAATATCTGTTTTAAGTTGTCTTGAAAATTTATTCACTTCTATATCAATAAATATAATTTCCATTTTTAAATTTTGGAATTGTACATTTTCACTTTCTTCGTGTATAAAATTAATTTGATATTAGAGTCGATGTTATTTCGCAAACAATTATCGAAAAGTGTTTTATTTTATCGTATTTATTTTCGATACAAAGGTATAAAGCTGTAAGTATTTTATTTGTTATTTAATAATAATGCTTATAATCTCCTCGTAACAGTTTCTTGATTCTAACCTTCATCAGTTTTTTACAATCTGTCGAAGTCGCATCGTGTTTGGCAAATTAAACGCCCACTTCAATACGATTAAAGAGATTCTATGATTTCAATATTTTGATGGCGAGTGTGACAGAAAACCAACAGCTGACAGAGTACATGCAACGAGTAGATGTAATTTACCTTCATCGTGACAAATCCTGGTAAATTTGCCGAGCGTAGTAGTTCGGCAACTTGGATCACCGGTACACTGTCGCTGTCACTTATTTTACAGTAATACTTAAAAATGCTTTTGTAGTATCGATGTTCGGTCATCGTCAAGTGAAGACTCGCCATCGTGATCGATTCCCAATCCATCTTGACGACAAGTTAGAGCGGAGCAATGAACCGCTTCTACACTCGTTACGTATAAACTGGGTCCGTTCTCTTTCTGTTCTTTCTCTCTTTCTCTCTCTCTCTCCTCGTTCTCTCTCTCTCTCTCTCTTTCTCTCGTTCTCTTCCTTTTTCGCTCTATTTCTCTCTCTTCGTCGTTGTCTTTTCGTTTTTGACACGGTCTGCTTCACGGGACGATCGTGATCAATATAGTCACATTGCACGATAATGTTTGTGACTTTGATAAAATCCTTGAGAACGTGAGACACACTACTTACAAACTACACTTTATGCATCACGAAATTACCGCTCGACTGCCATCTTTCCGTTCCATCGGTGTTTGACATTACTATAACCTATGTGTGCACACTATTCGCATCGTACAACTGATATCTCTACGGTACGTGCGCATTAACTTTACCGGATTATAGCATTTCTACAGCGCATGCGCTACTCTCGTACAAGAATGCGCGGCATTTTTAATTTTTTTCAATTATTTTATTTGATCAATCTTTTATTTACTTGACAGTATAATTTAATATCATAATACTTTTCTTCTTTTCATTTTTACATAGTCTTCATCGATCGTATTACAACTAAAAAATTACTTTATTCTTATAATAATTCAATTGTTTTCATTACTTTTGTTTAATCGTGATTTTGTCTATTCTATTAGAAAAGAGTAGTCAAACTGTTTTCTTTTTAATTGTAATCGTGTGTTCTCAGGTTTTAGGTTATGGTCATTATAGTATTATCAAGTAATCAGTATTACTATATTTTGTTGTACAATATCAGTGATATAAAAAAGTAAGTAACAATCGTTTCGTTTCGTATTTAAGATATAATATTTTGTATGCATAATATGTGAATGTAATCTGCCAGAAGATTAAGTGCTTAGACATTTGCATTCTTTAAAAACAAACAAAAAATGCTTTAATAGAGTAAGCTACATTGTGAAGAAAAATTGTTCAAAGTTCAGCATGTGACAACGATACAAATAGATGTATGACTAGAGCCTGTTGCTATAATTGATTTTTACAAATATACTTAATTTCGAATCTAACGGATTTTCATAAATTCGATGCAATTGATTATCTGTAAATCTAATAATAACATAAATTGCAAAATATCACCGTAAATTACAAGCAGAAGAAATTCTTCGGGCGTCGTTTGAGGTCGCACAAAAGCATATTGCGTATCATATATTTTCAACGATCGAAGAGGATGAACTTTTCTTTGTGTTGCTATAACGTCCTGTTATCGGCTTCTGTCCAGCCATTTTAAATCGATGCAGCACCGGCGAATTTTCCCTTGGACTACCACTAATATTATCGAAGTCCCAACTCGCAAAATGTTCTTTGAATAGTTTTTCGAGTTTCTTCGATAGCGTTTCAATCGTTTTCACTCGATCATGATCACCCTACGATCAAATAGTGAAGAAAAATGACTGTCTACTATTATAAGCGCACGAGGCAACTACGTTACTTAAAAATCACAATATACAGGGTGGACCACTTAACATGATCACCTCAATTATTTTCGTTATTACTGGACCAATCAAAATTTCTTTTGTCATAGAGAACATAGTTTCAAAGTTCTTTCAAGTTAATGACCTTTGGTTCTTTTTCTGTCTCTTTTTAAAATAAGTTTTTAAGGGCACGTTTAATTATTTTACGTATAACCCTATAGTTTTTTTTTTTTTGCCTGTTAGCTAGTACGCATTGAGACGAATTCAACGACCACAATATAATACATTTTTTCATGTATAAAATTTATATGTAAAAACATTAAACGTGACTTTGAAAACTTATTGAAAAAAGGGACATAGAAAAAATCTAAGGTCAGTACCTTGCAGATCCTTTGAAATTGTATCCCATTTGATCAAAAAAATTTGGAGCATTCTACTAATAATGAAAATAATTGGTCACGTTAGGTGGACCACACTGTATACAGGGTGTTCACGTTATTACTAGCCAGTGTTTTTCTCGTAAATGGTAAGTAGTGGAAAAAAATGAAAGAGGAAAAAGTTCTGCAGTTTTCTATGGCCAACATAATAGCGTATATCAATTTTTTATATTGGCCATAGTTTTCGAGAAACGAAGGTGACCTTTAATTTTTTAAAGTGAAACGTGCATTCATGCACAAGAAAGTCACATTGAATATCGGTAGCCTTGTCAAGAAAGAATACTTGTAAACACATTGGTACGTAATATTCGAAATATTTCTTTCATTTCTGACCTTGTATGACCGTGAAGGTCATTGTCCAGCACATGGATAAATTCGTCTCGATACACATTTTCGTATGACACAAAAAAAATATGCAGCTTTTCACTTAAGAAATTAAAGGTCACCTTCATGTCTTGAAAAATATGGCAAATATAAAAAATTGATATACGCTATTATATTGGCCATAGAAAGCTGCACAACTTTTTCCTTTTTCATTTTTTTCTGGTACTTACCATCAGTAGGTATACACTTATAGTAGAATCGCCCTGTATACAGGGTGATTCACCTAATTTGACGACATGAAATTACTCGTAAACTATTCGCTGTACGAAATAGTGTATAAAGCAAAAGTTGCATATGTTACAATAATTATTTCTTTTTTCTATATTGTTTATACATGAAGTTTTGAATTTTGAACTTTATCATGAGTTTTTTAAACGGAACACCTTATATTTCTCTATGGAAATTATGGGAGTAAATGTGTGTGTGTGTAATTTTTTTAACGAAAATGATCGAAAAATGAAACAACATGGATCACGAACCTTATGATATAATTTTGAATTATGAACAATACGACGGAAGTCTCTAACCACGTGTTCTACTTTATGATAAACTCGGTTTTTTAGTTTATATTCAACGGTTTCCAGGAACATTGGACTTTTAATGACTTTACAATAATCTTCAATCTGAAAGGAAATTATACAATTACTATTTTAAGATTCCTATTAAATTGATACCTGGCCTTGCACAAAGCAGCTAACCGTGTAAGTAGAAGATCGAGTACTAGCACTATTTTCTGAAGATGGACATTTGAAAACCTCTGCTTCCTCCATTTGCCAGACTGTTTGATGTATCATTTCCAATTTACTAAACGCAAGTGGACTGAGACTTTGTTTCCTTTTCGAACTGTACCATACGGACCAACCTCTGTCGTTGCACTTTCCATCAAATTTTCCGTCGAAGAATTCAATATATTCAGCGTTTTCTTTCTCCTTCGTGTGTTTTATTGCAGATTTTGACGTTCCTTCCGCTTGAGAATCGCTGATTTCGCAACTTTTCGTAGATCTTTTTCCAGAACACTTGCGGGATCTATTATGCAAGAGATAATACGACTTTTCGAAGTCCTTCCTCTGGCATTTGCGTCCAGGAATCGGTATAACAGTGCTGCAAATCGTCGAAACATTGGCTATATTCAATTTGCTCTTCTTACAGAACTCCTTTTTCTCCGAGAAAGATGTGCTTAAAGATGCGCAGCGTCGTACGGTTTCTGAATAGGTGGCCTTCCCTACGACACGTTCCATTTCCTCTGACGTTGTTTCATTGTTCAAAGAAATACACGAACTTTTTTTCGAGTAAACAGTTTCTTGAAGGTTCTTTACCGTGGTAGTCGTCGCGACTGTTGTTACGCCACTGTTGTTGCTCACTGACGAAACAACCGGAGTCGTTTCCTCGTTTTCCGTTACCGAACTGTTTGACGATTTTGAACTATTTGGATTGGTATTGCTTTTTCGTTGCTTCTGCTTATTTGCCATATTAGCGTTGTTCAAAGTTTTGATTAACCACGTGTCCGTTTTTATGTTCACTTTACTAGAACCTGTTAACGGGTAGCTGCATAAAATATTGCGATATTTAATGCTGGAAGAACGGAAGTACTGTTTCGACATATCATCAAACACATATAAGATCTTCCAGAGTTGGGAAGCCAAACTTTTCGCCCGCATTTTATTTATCACAGAAATGGGAAAAACCTGCGTTTCTTCTCCAAGTTATGAATACTTCGTTGCAGATACTATTCGTAACCGACAATTCTACGTTATTTATTTAACACAGTGAATTATTGGTGCATGATGTAATGCAGTTTAAATGTAAATGACCCTTTTTACGAATTAACGAAGCATTCGTACTTGTAAATTCTCACATAAAAAAAAAAATGCTTACAATTCGGAAAGGAAGTACTTTTGCATTCGTGTTTAGAGGACCATTTTTCTTCTTTGTGGTGAATAAAATACATTCTTAAGGTTTGACCACCAAATTCTAGAACGACGTATTTTAAAAAATGCTTACAATTCGGAAAGGAAGTACTTTTGCATTCGTGTTTAGAGGACCATTTTCCTTCTTTGTGGTGAATAAAATACATTCTTAAGGTTTGACCACCAAATTCTAGAACGACGTATTTTTATCGATGATCCTAAATGTGTCTGATACGTGTAAAACAAAGGGTGATACTCGTTTTATTATACAAAGCATAAATTCTGTCACTATTTTCATAAAAAGTTTGCTTTTACGTCTATAGAGTAAAAAAAAATCAGAGACATCATTATAAAAATACAAAACTTTCGCAACTCCGTTCTTTTAGTATTAAAGCAATTAGATTTTATTCTCAAATGAAATAGTTAGTTAAGTTCAAGTGGTTAGAATTAATAAGAATTCACGAAATATCTCTGCATATGTACATATACAGGGTGTCCCCAAAAATTGTGGTACAACCGGTCGAGTGGTGATTCCACGTGCAAAAATAATATTTCTTTCATTTAAGGATTTGTTTAAAAAAAAAAAAAAATGAGTATGAAAGTTCGTCGTGTACCCGTGAATTAACTGCAACTTTCGAGGTATGAAACTTTTGTTTCCGCCGGATTTAATACCTCTCGACTTTTCTTTATGGGGTTTTATTAAATCTAAAGTGTAAACAGCGTTAAAGACTTAAAAGCAAACATTTTGCTTTTACGTTCGAAGATTTGAAAAATACACATAATTCACTGCAAGAAGTGCATAATAATTTACAATTCAAATTAAATACGGAATAAAAAAAGGTAATAATACAGGCCGATATGGCGGAATTGTCCACGTTGAATAATACAAGCACGAGTAGAAACAGAAGTTTCATACGTCGAAACTTGCAGTTAATTGACGGACTTTGCATGACAGATTTTCAAACTCATTTTTTTTTTTTTTCGAAAACGAAGCCTTAAATGAAAAAATGTTATTCTTTTTTTTTTGGCTTATTTTAGGGACACCTTGCATATATGTATGCGTGAATGTACAGAATACGCAGAAGATACCGAACGATTTTCTTTTTCCTAGAAGATTGGCACGTGGAAGAATAATAAAAATGAATCATTACCATTTTTATTCTCAGACGACTGGGAAACTTCGTTGACATTTATGTTGGAAGAAAAATGACAAGTAGATTCTGAGTCATCTTCGGACGCCTCGTAACTCGAAACACCGCCACATCCATCGTTATCGTCTTTCAAAGCTTTCACGAATTCTTCCTCAAATTTCTCTTGTTTCTGCGCTATCTGAGACTGAGCTGTGTCGTCGGTATCGTTCTTCTGAATGTTTTCACGCTTCTCGACTGTACGAACGCGGTCAACTTCATTTTTCGTCGAACAGCTGTTCTTCTTTACGTTTAGTGCCTCTAGCAACATTTCAGCCGAAGCACAAGCCGCTTTCCAAGTAATGTCCTCAGACATCGTGTAATTAGATGCATGGGGTCGTTTCAAAATCCTAGGCGAATTTTCAAGGGAGAAGGTGGGCGGTGAAACGAGCAGAGTCGTTGAAAGTGGCAATTTCATCGATGTATTTGTGGAAGTATTAATACTGGTTGAAATGGACGTAGCAGTGGGCCGTGGCACTGGCGTTGACGATGCGAGAGCGCAAAATATTTTTTCTTTATTAGCATAATGATTGCGATGGTTGGTGGAAGAGACATTTACCAGGTTTCGGGACATCGAGTTGTCCAAACGACGATTGGATCTCCTTTGATGCCTTTTCTTCGGAACGTTGTAACTTCCTGGTTTCATATACACTCGAATGTCCTCGGAACTGTCGTATTCTTCGGGAACTTGTTGCATTTGAACGCGATTATTGATCAGATTATAAGTGTTCCAAGGCGTGGTCTGAATAGTCTGCATATTTTGTAACGTTTGGAATTGACGATTCGCGTCAATCTGCAGCTGCCTGATACAATTGCTAAGATCCATCGTGTTCTTCGACATTTCTGGCCGCGACGACGGTACTGTATTGGCCTCTGTTAAATTCATAAACGGCATCTGCCGGTTGTCAGAGTTTCTCATACTGGCAAACCAGGCCGACAAATTGGCCGTCATCCCTTCGGACGACTTTTCCGGAATGCTCGGCTCGATCTGACTAAGCAGCGTCATTTTGTCTTTTGGCACGGCCGCCAAGTCTAGTTGACTAGTCGACGATTTGCCGACGTAAACTAGATCCATCTTCGTTTTCTTCCCATAATTTTGCCCGAAGCTCTTCAAACCTTTGTTGTCGTAATCGACCGTGTACGAGGGACAAATGGCGTAGCTGGGATAAAAACTGTCGTGCTCGTTGCTGGAAGGAAAGTACGCGGATTTCAGGCTAATCGAAGGATTCAGCAAGGACGATTCTACCCTCGACAAACACTTCTGAGCGTAATTCCTTTCGTAATTTTCATCCATCTGGCGTTGCACTTTAAACATAGAGTCGACGTTTCCGTGAGACGAAACTTTGCTCCCTTTAGGGAATTCTTGCTTCTTATCCTTAAACGACCATCTCCTGGAAGGGTCTTGGCTATTTCCCGTGAGAACTTTGCTCCTCAAGTGAAAAAATTCAGCGTTCAGCGATTGCGTGGACGTGTCGGTTTTGGCGGAAGAGGAACTCACTTTTGAACGAAATCTACTGTTCCCTTGCCCTTCGGAATCTGCGTGCCCTATGAACATATCAGGCACGGATTTCGTGCTATCTATTGTCGTTAGATTCTCGCTAACAGTCCACTTACTTCGCAACTTCGATTCTTTCTGGGACGGCTGTTTCTCCTGACTGACGTTGTACAAACCAAAGTGCCGCAGGCTCCCGACTGATGATTGCGCGACGCTACAAGTGGGGCACTGTCCGTTCTTTTTATTCAAAGTCGACGACGGATCGAACAAGTCGCAATTCACGTATACTGAAACATCACCTGGAAAAGAGGTTCCGAATGATTCTGGTCTCTGCTCGAAGTTGGAAGCGTCGCTGGTGTTCTCCTCGAGCTTCAAGAAAGTCTGAACGATTTGGTTCAGTAGTTCATGCGTGCTTTCCTCCCACAGCCGGAAGCACCTGATCAACTCACAGTCGAATTTGTCGTCTAAGTTCGGATAATGTTGTTTGTTTAAATAATTATCAAGAATCAGCCAGCCGTTGCTGATACGTAACAGAGCGTTTATCAAGTCGCCGATGAAGGTACGATCCCCGGCGAATATAGGGAAACAGGTCGAGGACTTGGTCACCGCTGTTTTAGTCGCAGAGGAAAGGTTTTTCAGCCAATTGGATTTTGAATTTGTTTTCGAGCTGTTGTCTAAAACGATCTCGGCCTCTGTGCATCCCCAGTAAACGACTTTTCGCAACAGTTCCGGGTACTGTGCCCTGTCTACATATGGCCCGTCCGTTTGAACAGCTATCGAGGTACCAGTACCATAATTCGCGCAAAACTCGGTGAACCATGTGTTTTTATTCAAGACAGTGTCACCAGCACCGCTGAACAACGGCGTTGAATTAGATTTCTCTTTCTTCATCCCCTCTTTGCCGTTGTCATTCGACGATGTGTTACAAAGCGCAGAGACCATCTTCTCAGCTTCAATCGTGAAATCGAAGCTGGCCGAGGATTCATCGGAGTAATGCTCTTCCCGGGTTTTCGCAGGCACGTCCTGTGTAACCTTTTCCAACGTATTTGTAACCGCCTCTTGATTCGTGTCATCGTCCGTACTCGGCCTCACCTCGAACAAGTTGTCGAAAGAAGAGGTGATTGTTTGAGACGGCCATTCGTTGTAACTTTCCGTAGTAATTGGCACGATCTGTGTATTATTGACAGCAGGTGTTTTGCTTTTAGCGACTTGAAGGTCCGCGATGTCGAGTGTGCCAGAAGAAGTAACTGGCTTATCTCTTTGCAGATTACCGAAAACTAAACTCGCCGGGGGATTAGGGAACATCTGATTGGAGTACACTGTTTGAACAGGACTCGTGATTTGATTGTTCGTAAAATTGGCTGTAGCATATGGACTGAGATTGGGAAATTGGAACGCCGAATTGCCATTAACTGCTTGCAAGTTACAGGTGTTCGTGGCTGAGATATTGTAGTAGGAACCGTGTGACGGTTGTTCCTGTTGCTGTTGTTGAATATTTTGCCGATCTTGAATCAAACAGTAGGTCTGCACGTCCAGGGGCTTAAAGTAGGGCTGCGGTATCAGTGTGATTCCAGAATTGTTATACTGATCACCGGAAAAGGAGCCGTGCGTGTACGTTGAAGAAGCGATTAAAAACGAAGCGGTCGGCGCGGTCGGTGGAACATTATTTGTCATTTGATCATACAGAACCAAAGGCTTTGGGTTGTAAGACAATTGCTGTTGAATGTGTTGCTGCTGCTGTTGTTGCTGTTGCTGTTGTTGGCAATATTGTTGATTTCGTACGAGTTTACTCTTTACTGGCCATCTGCTGCTTTTGCCTGTATTCGTGCAAGATGTATATTTGTAAGGAAATCTTGGTAAACCGAAAGTATTATTTAACATAAACATGTCATTTGATACTACGACCAGTGAAGATGGGATAATTATTGTCAAGCAAAGTGACACTTATTCTCTATCATTTGAAAGATAATAATATACGAACGGTGTAAAAATGATTTTATTAAATGGACCACTAGCCTTGGAATACTGTTCGATTATAATACCGATTTCATACAAAGTGGTCGGCCTAACCACCTCAATTGTTTTCATTATTAGCAGACCGATCAAACATTTTTTTGTCATAGAGGATCCGATTTCAAAGGATCTCCAAAGTACATAGTGACTTTAGATTTTTTCTATGTCCTTCTTTTAAATAAGTTTTGAAGGTCACGCTTTTATGTGTAAATTTTACATACAAAAAAATGTATTATACTGTGGTCGTTGAATTCGTCTCAATAGCTAATAAGAAACTATAGTGCTGTACATAAAAAAAATTGAACGTGGTCTTGAAAACTTATTTTAAAAAGAGACTCCAAGGTCAAAACGAGAAAAATCTCAAAGATTCTTTGAAACCATATGCTCTATGACTCTATGAAGTCACGTTAGGCGGACCATCCTGTATGCGATTTTATCAAGAGGGCGGAAATTTGAAGGGAAACGTATTTACACCTTGTATGTGCAAAGGAGCCGGAGTAGTCAGTGCAGCATTACGTTGAGCTCCTTGATAAACACACGAAGGATGCAAACCACTCCCACATGGTTGGAGAGTTAACGTCGGATTGGCGATAGGGCCGTAAAGAATTTGTTGTTGCTGTTGTGGATGGAGGAGGGATGACGGGGTTGACGTAGGCGGAATCGAAGATTGTACGGACGATCGATTAGCTCGTGCGGCTGCTGGGTGCATGATCCACCTAACCCCGATTTAAAAACAACTTTTCTCGTTCTCTTCACTTCTTAATGCCTGTTTAGGAGATGAATTTTTTCAATGCATTTATTTGTCACTTTCAGTTTCAAATCGGTGTCAACGAAGCGTCTCTATTATTGGTCGATTCTCCGTCGAAATGAAATTAAAGAAAACAGTTTTTAAATTCTCGTCCAAATGAAACGAACCTAGCCACTATAACAGCTGTCATCTGACATGTTGTCACTAACCTAAGTGCATATTTCTTTGATTTATTTTATAGGTACAGAATGGTGAACAGTTTTCATTTTACCTGATATTTAAGTACTCTTTCAACCTTCTTGAACGAACCATTTGGATTCGTGAATGTACGAGTAACAACGGTAAGAGACGAAGATGTAAACCACAGTGTAACAGACTGTATTTACGGCGACGACAAGTGACAAGGTAAAATCATACCTAGGTGTTACGTGTAAGTAAATAAAAAAAAAAAGAAATGGAGAAAGGATTGAAACTTTGAATGAATGAACTTGCGGATAAATTAAAGAACTCTCGATGTTGGTCCACGACTTTCCAAATGATCGCTTCACCCTTTCCGCGTGTTAACGGATACGCATGTCACCATTTTCTCGCACAACGTTTCTTTTCTCTCGCGGAGAAAACAAATTGAAATTTCTTGTAAACGAGAAACGATAAAACTTACGTGTACATACTAAAGGACAAACGTTAATCTACGAAACGGAAGACAACGAAGAACGCGAAGAAAAATGGCAGATTACTGGCTATTCGTCTAAAACAAAATTCTCTACCCGGAACAATGAAACGAGAGAAAAATTTGACGCACGGCTCAGACATTTTTGTCCACCAAATACTCGACATGATTATATTTTTAATCTGTTCGTTAATTCACGAATAACGTGTATTATGAAATTTCGCATATGTACAACAATTGGAAAGGCAAATAATCGCTAAAATTTCCTCTACAACAAGTCGAAGGAGGACACAACCGACAGATACAACGGTCAATGGGATAAAGGAAAATAGCAGGACTTTTATTCTCCGCAAGACAACCCTGATATATTTCCCTTGTTTCGCAGAAAAACATATTGTACAGATGTTTTATTGCGAAAATGTTGTCACAACATATAGACTTTCAACAAATTGCATAATTATTGTTACATGTGTAATATCATTCTTAAGCTCTACGCAGAAAATTGTCGAGTGAACACAACGTGACTATCGTCACACTTTCAGCACCTAAATTGGAGATTTCCAAGGAGAATGTTGCATGATCGAGTGCTCGCCAAGCTGTTCGACGTTTCGCTAAAAAGTACCAAAAAATCGCACCGTTCCTGAAACCTTGTACAGTTTTCTGGTGGAAACTTATCCGAGAGAAACGTAATTACTTTTCGATGAAAATTTCGAATAAATCACACCATGGCAGAGTGTGTCGCGTATAAAAATCAGCTAATTCTGGGCAAACATTCCTCGACCAAAATATTTCTTTCCTTCTCTTCAAGCTGTATCTTTACCTATCGTCTTCGATAATCTTTCCCCGGGATGAATCTTTATCCAAACTTGTGTCGTTTATGTAACGACTAACAATGTATGTTATCAATGTGAATTTTCTTCCTCGATACGTTCCATTTGAAAATATTCAGGCAATCAGAAACAGCGTTCACGATTAGATCTAGAACTGTGATAATCTTCAACCAATGACACAGGAGGAAGCCACTGCATTGTCTCTGGAATGAAACACGTTCTCATTGAGAATTCCTTTCGTTCGAGTATATCGAGATCGCCAGCATTTGTTTTTTCCTTCGTTTTGGAGATGTAACGCAAAAATTCTTTATCAGAACGTTGCGTTTCGCTTGTTCTACACACTTTACCCATTCGCGACGAACGTACGTAAGAAGTACTTCCTCTGAAACTTTTCGTTTCGTTCACTTTCGTTTATTGGGAACGCGAAGTCGAAGCTGCTTGCAGGTACTAACGATCCAGCACGCATCTCTTCGTCGATTGTTCAGGAGTATGGTAGATTTGTCAAAACTAATTACGGATGAGTGCTACCAGAACACTGCCGAAGATACACGACAGTATCAAAGGTATCGGTGGTAGGACATTCGGTGTTGCCGTGTTGCAATAGTCTGTCAAACACGAGCAGACTTCCTGGCGGCCACCGAAACCGCTTCTTTGGTAGCATTTTCCTTTGTAGTTCGACTCGTACCATCCACACCCTCTTATGACTCGAGTGTCAGGCGGAACTGTTTCAAATATACACACGATTGTTAGTCCGATGTATGTTAATGCGCCAATACTACGATACATTGAGACTAATAGCGAGCTACCGGTATAATAATTTCGATTAGGTGTTGTATGCACGATATCGGATTACTTGTTCTACTACTGTACCGCAACAAGCATCGCAGTAATCACGCAATCGTTATATGCTTGACGATACATTGTAATTTTCCGCGGCGTAATAAGGATACTACATTGATCTAGATTAATAGTGATAGCGCACTTCAGCACACCGCTGCATTCAAATTTACCCTTTCACAGGTACCGCTTTATCGCAATTGTGCATATTACTCCTTTCAATAACTCACAGTTAAAGCGAGGAATACAAATAACGGGGAATATAATAATCGCTGAAACACTGTCAGAAAGATCATTTTTTACTTGGACGGGATAAGGTGGATATTACTTACGTCCGTTAACGCTAAACTCAATGACTTGCGTAATCTTCCGGCACATAGTATATTTCGCGCCGTCCTTCAGATCGGAGCAATCTTTTTTCAGGGCATCAGGTGGTTGATCGTCGGCGCATCGACTGTCATTGTGACTGTTGCAAAGATAACATTCTATTGCATTTATACCTAGAACATGATAATAATTCTGTAGAAAATTGAAAATTCGTCGTATATTAAAGGGTATAAAAATATATGTAAGAAGTTCAAAGAATCTTAGATGATATAATTGCTATAAGAAACTTCGATACAATTTAGTAGCAATTTAATTGAAAGGTTGTGGATGTTATCAAATGTCTGATAAGAGAGGTCGGCGCGAGAGATGAAAATAATACGACGATTGAACGTTTTATGCTGCAAAGGGGACGTGATTCTATCTTGTTTTAAATGCGTTTTATGCAAGTGATGGTTTCGCGGTATAATCTGTTACACGCGCCTATTTATGTGGATCAATATTTTGACATACATTCCGTTTGAGGAAAGGTTCATCGTTCTCCCGACCCTAGCTGATATAAAAATCAATGTAGTTATCCGTCCTAGAAAGGCACGAGCACGATAAGTTTGTCTTCACATTTTAATCTTGTTTATGCGATCATTCATACTTCCGAGTATAACGGAGGTAGTTTATATTTTATTATACTATATT